AAATGCTACACTCACCACTGCCACTCACATCCCATGAACAAATTTAAAAAAAAATTAGGACTGATTAGGGACGAAAAAGGGCATTTACACATGGGCCAGGGAATGGATACTATTGTATACCTTTTTACGTAGATCTCTGTGCATATTGGGGATTGGGTGCCACAGTGGTAATGTCACTGGACTATTAATCCAGAGACTCAGGCTAATGTTCTGGCACATGGTTTCAAATTCCACCCTGGAAGGTGACAAATTTTGAATTCAGTAAAATCTGGAATCAAAAACTGGTATAATGGTAACCATATAACATCATGCCATTGCCAACTGTCATAAAAACCCATCTGGCTCAGCAAGCTCTTTAGGCTGCTATCCATACTTGGTCTGGCCCACACGTGACTGCATACACACAGCAACTTAGGTGCCTTCCAAAATGTCGTAGAGAGCCGACGGCAACTGGAAAGGACAACAAATGCTGACTGTGCCGCCGCCACTCATATCAAATTCAAGAATTTTTAAAGAAGGATCATGGCAAAAAGAGGTGGGAGGTCAGACACCTGAAGTGTTTAAAATTAATGCAGTATTACAACTTAGAACAGTACAGCACAGGAACAGGCCCTTCAGCCCACCACGTCCACGCCGATCATGATGCCATTCTAAACAATACATTTGCCTGCATATGGTCTGTATCCCTCTATCCCCCGTCTGTTCATGTGTCTGTCTAAATGTCTCTTACATGTTGCTATCGTATCTGCTTCTACCACCTCACCCGTATCCTTTGACAACCTTCCTCACAATCCACAACTCTATCAATTTTCAAAGATAGCAAGAACTTCAGATGCTGGAGCCAGAGATAACACTGTGTGAAGCTGGAAGAACACAGCAGGCTAGGCAGCATCAGAGGAATAGGAAAATCGACATTTCGGGTCGGGACCCCTGATGAAGGGTCCGGGCCCCAAACAGTGACTTTCCTGCTCCTCTGATGCTGCCTGGCCTGCTGTGTTCCTCCAGCTTCACACAGTGTTGACTCCATTAATTTTCATTTTGTTTTAAAACTTACCAATCAACCCACCAATATTTTCATCTAAATCATTTATATATTTTGTATGTGTCTGTGTGTTTATATATCAAGTGAGGTCCCAGGAATGATCCTTGTAGAACAACACTGGTCTCAGACTTCCTGTCAGAACAAACATCCCTCTACAACTACCCTTTGTCTTCCAATTTTACCAACCCAATTTTACATCCAATTTATTAATTCACTGTGGAACCCATACGCATAATCATCTGGACCAGGCTAGCATGAGAGATTTTGCCAAATGCTTTAGTAAAGTCCACGTAGACATATCCACTGCCCTACCCTAATCAATCATCTTTGTCACTTCCTTAAAAACCTCAACCAAATTTGTGAGCCAAGACTTTCCCCTCACAAAGCCATACTGACTATCCCCAATCAGTCCACTCATTTCCAACTGCGAGTAAATCTTGTCCCTTAGAAACTTCTCCAATAATTTCCCTACCACTGACCTAAGGCTCACCAGCCTATAATTTCCTGGATTATCCCTGTTGCACCTCTAAAAGAAATGGACATGAGCTATTTTCCAGTCTTCTGGGTGGCTAAAGAGGATACAAAGATCTTTGTTAAGGCCTTACCTCTCTCAGTATCCTAAGATAGATCTCATCAGACCCTGAGGTCTTATCTACTTTCATGTTTTCCAATGTATTGGAAAGGTTGTTTGTACTTAAAGTTGATCAGGCATCATGACAGCATGCAAAACATTGAAAAATACAGAGGGAAGTGAGAGTGTAAAATGCAGAGGAGCTGGGTAATTGCAAATATTACCCTGTTGTTCAAAAATGGGTGTAAAGATAAGGCCAGGTCAATTACAGATCAGTCCTGCCATGGGGATGCTTCTCAAAATGATCAGTCAAAACTAAATTAATAGTCACTTGAACAAATGTAGGTTAATTATGAAAAGACAGTACTGAAGTGTTTTGTGAGGATGCAAGTGGGTGGAAAGAGAGTGAAGGCACATGGGTGACCGATTGGGTAAGCAGTGAGATGAAGGCACATGGGTGAGCGGTGAGGTGAGGGCACATGGGTGAGCGGTGAGGGGAGGGCACGTGGGTGAGCAGTGAGGTGAGGATACGGGATGCCCCCAATCTCCACCCCGTGCTTCTGGGTCCAGTTCCCCATTCTCCCTCTCCCAGGTCCCAAACCCGCTTCGCTCCCGAGTCCCATCGCAGGCCGAATTCCCCCAAAGCCATTCAAATGCACATCTGTGAACTTAAGCAACACATCGTGTGCACGCACTGGTGTCAATAAATGCAGCCAAATTTTAAAGGCACAAAGCTTAAACATATTCCTGTATTTGCAGAGGACAGGTCCTTATGTGTATGATTGTATGCCACTGTAGCAAGGGTAAACGAGCCACATTACAATCACCACTCATTATCTTAAATTGATTGTTAGCATAACTATTAGCGCACTCAGAATCGTTCATCAAATGCTGCCACTTGTGGAATCATATAAACAGTAGATATTTTGAATTTTGCAAGCATGGACTGGTTGATCGACTGTGTATCCCACCTATTACAAGAAAAAAAACATTGGAGAAACAGATGGCCATGATGAACAGATCTGTGAACTGAGTAGTCAGGGGCTTTAAGCAATTATCCTTAAGGCTCACTCCTCTGGGTGTTATTTCACCTTGTTTTGACTTCCATTATTTTAAGCTTTTGGTACATGGTGTTAGTGTTTCTTCATTCAATTGCAATGTGGACCAGACAGCTTTTTTTTAAACACAAATGACTGGTTAATGTAGCAGTGGAGTGCATAAATTCCACACTTTGTACGTAATGTTGAAATATTTTAAACACAGTCACAGCAGAATTCACATAATGTTCATTCCACGGAAAGCACCCCAGGTAGATTTCTTTTCAGAAAAGTCATTAACAAAGTATTAGCAAATTCCACATGCCTCAACAATGCAAAACAATTTTTCAAGGTCGAACTTTAGTTTATATTTGTGAACTGTTTAATAGCATTGGTTTTAACCTTTGAACACCATCAGTATGAGAAAAATGAAATATATTTCTTAAACATATCCCTTACACAAAATGATAATACCACATAATTTACTCCCCAGTCTATGATATCCCAAAGTAACCTGACTACCAGTGCTGTTCTTAGTTGAGGGGGAACATTAGATAATAGGAATAATTCTTCATTCAATTTTATTCTTTGTTTAGGCAATTTCCCATCATAGAATCACAAAATTAGTACGTGCAAAGGTCAGTTGGCCCATCATATCTGCACGGCTCTCCAAATGAACATCCTGACTTTGTGCAGATATCATGCTTTCCCCCATACCCTTCTACATTATTTAATTTACAACAAACATACAATGCTCTCAAGAATACCTCAATTGAACTCATTTCTACCAATCTTCCAGGCAGCACATTTGAGGTGAAAGCCACTTGGGTGAAAATGTTTTTTCTCACATTATATACACATCTTCTGAAAATCACTTTAAAGCTCTGCCTTCTCATTCTTGATCCTCATACAAGCAGAAACAGTTTCCCTTTCTACTCTGTCCAACCCATCATGACTGTGAAAATGTTTGACAGATCTTCTTTGAGCCTTCTTCGTTCCAAGCAAAATAGTCCCAAATTCTCCAATTTATTCTCAGAACTAAAGTATCTCACCACTGGAGCATTCTTGAAAATCTCTTCTGCACTCTCTCCAGTGTGTTTGCATCCTTCCTGTGGTGTGGAGCCAGAACCATACACCATACTCCAACTGAGATCTAACAAGCATCTTATACAAATGCAACATCACCTCTTTGTTTTTATACTTTTATGCCCCTTTTAATAAAGCTCAGGATTCTTTAAGATTTATTAACTACTCTCTCCACTTATCCTGCGACTTCTCTGATCTGTCGACAAATACATTGAAGTGTATTACGCGTATACTCATTTTGCAAACAGCCGACAACATGAATTACTTTAAAACTGTACCCCATATTTTATGCTATCTGTTTGTGCCCTTGCAACAAAAATGCATCATTCTATACTGCATTCACTCTCCACTGAACTTCATCTGCCATACATCTGCCCACTGCATCAACTTGTTAATATGATCAGGAAAGGATCTTAATTCTGCCCCCTGGGAACTCCACTACAAACCTCCTCTTAGTCTTTAAAAAAAAAATCCATTGGCCATTACTTCCTCTTTCCTATCACTCAACTCACGCCAATCTGTGTCTGCACACAAAAAAAACAGGTATGTTCAACAGCTGGGCAGCGCAATTAGCAAATTTCTGCAGTATGTTATTGGACAATTGATTTTTACTTGTTTCAATGTTTAAGAATTTCAGTCAAACAAATTACCTAATACACTTCATTCATTACTTGACAAACAAGCTGCTTACTTTGAGAAGTACAGTTCTGCCTCAGCAGTTAGTTTAAAGTTTTTTTGGCCACATCAGTGCGATCAACCATGGCTCAGTAGCAGCATTCTCACATTAGTTTCAAGTTTCACTCCGAGGTTCTGAATTGTAATCCAAACTGCCAGTTTGGCGCAGTACCTAAGAAGTGTTCCATTATCAGAAATGCTGTCTTTCAGATGAGATGTTAATCCGAGGTTCCATTTGCCTTCTCAGATAGATGGCAATGATCACATGGCATTATTTTTCAACAGCATCTTGCTGGTGTCTTGGTCACTATTTATTCCTCAACAATTATCACTAAAACAAATTTTATCTGGTATTCTACCTCACTGCTAGTTGTCAGATCTCACTGCGCAAAACTTATTTGAAGTATATTCAAATTACAGCAGTAAACACACTTTAAAAGTATATTATTGGGAATAAAGTTGGGAAATACCCAGATGATTAAAGGTACAACATAAAATCAAAGTTCTTCCCGCATAAAAGTTCAGAAGCCAATGTGTCAAATTTCCCATCGATTAATAATTGAAACAATCACCTTTTGTTCTGACTTACCTTTGACTCACATTTCTTGTGACACGCATATTTGCAAACTGGAAAAGAACAATGAAAACAAATTAAATACAGTAGTTGATAGTAAAAGCCATTTCCCTTAAAATTAACCCCTCTCTGAAATTCTAAAAGCTGTTGGGGCTGTTTGAGTCTCTTTCAATTATCAACCCCAACTTCCTTTTTTTTAAGTTGGAAGGACTAAGCAGGTATAATGCATTTCTTTAGCTTTTTTTTGCATTCCATACTCGATCCATCAAGACACCTCCAAATAACAAGTTTCAACCCAATATAACGGAATTGGATGGGCATAAAGGCATGCAAACTGTGAGAAGTGAAACACATTGTGCCTTGAAATTATGAACTGAATTGGTACTGTATGGTTAAAAATCTGCAACGCCAAATGTCATTGCATCACTCTGCAAAGGACACATATTATTCCATATGAATTTTTGCCAGTTTCTGCTTTTCAGCCACTTAATTCTTTTTTTAAAATCACACCATGGATGGTGTTTGATTTCTTATTGATAGCAAAACTAAGAACTAACTGACCAATAGTGGTGTTACGATTTTTAAGTCCTCAGTAAGAAAGTCTTTTTTTATTATTTCATGGACAGTCTTTAGCTGCCATGTCACCTATTACTAACTTAAACAAAAAAGACAGAATTGTTATAAAAACCTATCCTTTCACTTGTGCCATAAAACATAACTAAAAAGAAGAAAAAGTGGCTAAATTTCAAAAACTCTAACAAATTACTACCTAGCAATCACGCCCCTTTTTGATTACTCCTGATTTCTGTTCTTTCATTTGCTTCCCTGAAAGTTGCAATTACTGATAGGTGACAGTTTACTTATGGCAAAGCCTTAACAGCCACTCAGATTAGTTCAGGCTATCAGCAGAGAAATGAGATGAAACATGGGGCTTTCCATAATACAGGTGAATTTGCTTTCAACTCACTTTCACAGCCCTAAATGAAGACTGAACCTTTGAGACATTAGTATTCAATGGACTGTTGAGCTCTAGTCATGCTACTAACTTGACAAGGAATGAGCAACCCCTTTATTTATTAAAACTGCGCAGATCACAGCTATTCTAAGGCAGAAAGTGATGCAGATCCTTACCGAAGCAAAGGATTCTAGATATTTTTACTCCTTAACAAGAAGGATTGTAAAGTTGAACATGTTTTCTTTGTTTTTCCACCTTTATATTCTATGTTTTGGTTTATTTTTCTGTGTTTTAAGGTGGCGCTGGAGAGTGGCCATCTTAAAACATCTTATACAACAACACTTTTCACTGTATTTTGTAACAAAACACATGTGACCACAAATAAATCAAATCAAATCAAACTGTTCGAGGAGAGGATGTTATTACACACCTTTGGGGCATATGGGATTTGAACCCTGGCGTCCTGGCTCACAGGTAGGGACACTACCACTGCACCACAAGAACACTGAGCTATAGAGTTTCGTATAAGATGATGGAATTAATTATCAGGTACAAATCAGAAGAATGAACAGAGAGTAATCACCTCACAAATAGCCAACATGAGTTCAAAAGTGGAAGATTCTGTCAGACAAATCTTCCTGAATTTTTTGAAGAGTTGACATTTTAAATGAAATGCAGGAGGCTTAGACATCCAAGGGACACTGGATAGAATTCCACATGGAGGATTACCGATAAAATTCAAATTCAGGGTACATCGTGGATTCTGATATTAAGTTGGAAAGGTTTGAAAGCAGCATTGTGTTGGGACAAGTGGAATTTTTCATTTTCAATGATAGCTTGCAGTTTGATACAGTGCAAACTGGAGCAGAAATGGGCAAGACATTTGTTTGAAAGGGAAGTTTAAAGATACTTAGCAGGCTTAGCAGATCTGACACTTAATATATCCACACAATGCAGAGCAGCAATAAAGAAAATAAAGAAAGTCAATAGCAGTATGTATTCCACAGCTGAAACAATGAAATACAAGTCACGATCAAGCTGAAGGTATCGGAGTTAGGCAACACCCTGAGTGTCACATTCATTCCAATTACATTCAAGTGCTGGAGACAGTCCAAAGCACGATTGGGTTGATTCTTTCTTTCAGCATGCTGAATTAGATAGAAAGATGAAGACAACTTGGACTTTTCAGCCTTGAAATGTTGCAACGTATACCATATAGCAGATGATAGTCAAAATATTGCAAGATAAATCTGAAATTTGAGTGGGACAAGGAGCAACAAGTTGAAATTAGTCAAAAGACTTGTTTTTTCAATTGCTAAATGCTTAACGCATAAAGACTCTTTCTGATGATGTGCAAAATATATTGTCAGTCTACTCCCAGAAGAAGTTCTATTTTCAAACAGAAGTATTTGTCACACATCAGTGTTTATGTGGGAGCCAACACGACTATCTTAGCAAATCAATGTCAATGTGAAATTAGACCACAAATATTAAGGTTTATCACTTGACTTAATATCCAAGACTTATAGCAAACTTTATAAGGAGACTGCGGACCTATAACTTGACAAAACCAGACAACCCAAATGGATTGTATGAAACCAACTACCTTAGAATGACCATTTTTAACCAGAGGCACTGAAACTCTTAGAAACTCAGAAAACAGGAACAGATGTAGCCCACTCGGCCCTTTCAGCCTGCTTCACCATTCAATATGATTATGACCGATCAACTACTCAGTAACCTGATCCTGCCTTCACCCCATACACTTTGATATCTGGGGATGCTTTTACCTTGGGCCCTGCCAGTTCATTGCCCAGGAGTAAGTTACCCCATCCACAAGCAGAGTGGGGATGAATCCCGTGGTCACTGGTCCCAAACGGTCACAATTCCAGGTGCACCCAGTGAATACACAGAGATAAGAATTAAGAGCAGCAGAGAAGCCTGTTCCACGATTCAATAAGATCATGGCCCATCTGTTTGTGTTTCAACTTCCATATTCTGCCCTCAAAGGGTGACCCTTAATTTTGAAACAGTGACCCCTGGTTCTGGACTGACCTCCAAGAGGAAACATCTTTTGCACATCCACCTTGTCAAGATCATTCAGGATCTTAGACACTTCAAGAAAGTCACCCCTCACTCTTCTAAACTCCATTGGCAATAATGTCGGCCTGTTCCGACCTATTCTCATAAGAGAACCTGCTCGTTCCAACCTGCTGAAATCTAGTAAACATGCTAGGAACTACCAGCAATACACTTATTTAAGGAAGAAGGTAAGGAGACCAAAATCGCACATAGTAGAGCTCTTTGGGAGGGTTTAGTCTAGTTTGGCAGGGGGATGGGAACCAAAGCTACAGATTAGAGCATGGATCAGTACTTGGAGCTACAATGTTGTGGCCATTACGGAGACTTGGATAAAACAGGGGCAGGAGTGGTTGTTGGATGTTCCAGGGTATAGATGTTTCAAAAGAAATAGGGAGGGAGATAAAAGGGGGTGGGGGAGTGGTATTGCTAATCAGGGATGGGATCACAGCTGCAGAAAGGGAAGTCATCGAGGAGGGTTTCTCCACTGAGTCAGTATGGGTGGAAGTCAGAAACAGGAAAGGAGCAGTCACTCTATTGTTTTCTATAGACCCCCCAAATAGCAACAGAGACGCTGAGGAACAGATTGGGCGGCAGATTTTGGAAAGGTGCAGAAGTAATAGGGTTGTTGTCTTGGGTGACTTCAACTTCCCTAATATAGAGGTTCCAGTCTAAGTGCAAATAGTTTGCGTGGAGCAGATTTTGTCAGGTTTGTCCAGGAAGGATTTCTGACTCAACACGTAGACAGACCCACTAGAGGGGAGGCCATATTGGATTTGGTGCTTGGCAACGAACCATGTCATGTGTCAGATCTCTCTGTGGGATAGTATTTCGGTGACAGTGATCACAACTCCCTGACCTTTACTATAGTCATGGAGGGGGACAGGAGCAGACGGTATGGGAAAGTATTTAATTGGTGGAGGGGGAATTACAATGCTATTAGACAAGAACTGCGGAGCATAAATTGGGATCAGAGGTTCTCAGGGAAATGCACGACAGAAATGTGGAGGTTGTTTAGGGAGCAGTTGCTACGAGTACTGGATAGGTTTGTCCCACTGAGGCAGGGAAGGGATGGTAAGGTGGAGGAACCTTGGATGACAAGACATGTGGAACATCTGGTCAAGAGGAAGAAGGAAGCTTACTTAAGATTGAGGAAGCAAGGATCGGACAGGGTTCTAGAGGTCTACAAGGTAGCCAGGAAGGAACTGACGAATGGACTGAGGAGAGCTAGATGAGGGTATGAGAAAACCTTGGCGGGTAGGATCAAGGAAAGCCCCAAGGCTTTCTCTACTTATGTGAGGAACAAGAGGACGGGCAGAGTGAGGGTAGGGCCAATCAGGGATAGTGGAGGGAACTTGTGCGCGGAGTCAGAGGAGGGAGGGAAGGTCCTTAATGAATACTTTGCTTCAGTATTCACCAGTGAGAGGGACCTTGTCGTTTGTGAGGACAGCATGAAACAGGCAGATATGCTCGAACAGGTTGATGTTCGGAAGGAGGATGTGCTAGAAATTTTGAAAAACATGAGGATAGATAAGTCCCCTGGGCCAGACAGGATATACCCAAGGTTGCTAGGGGAAGCGAGGGAAGAGATTGTTGCCCCTTTGGCAATGACCTTTGTGTCCTCACTGTCTACTGGAGTATACCAGAAGATTGAAGGGTGGCAAATGTTATTCCCTTGTTCAAGGAAGGGAATAGGGATAATCCTAGCAATTACAGACCAGTCAGACTTACTTCTGTGGTGGGCAAATTATTGGAGAGAATTCTAAGAGACAGTATTTATGATTATTTGGACAAGCAGTTTGATTAGAAATAGTCAGCATGGCTTTGTGAGGAGCAGGTCATGCCTCACAAGCCTTATTGAATTCTTTGAGGATGTGACAAAACACATTGATGAAGGCAGAGCAGTGGATGTGGTGTTTATGGATTTTAGCAAGGCATTTAATAAGGTTCCCCATTCAGGCTCATTCAGAAAGTAAGGAGGCATGGGATTCAGGGAAATTTGGCTGTCTGGATACAAAACTGGCTGTTCAATAGAAGACAGAGGGTGGTAGTAGATGGAAAGTATTCAGCCTGGAGCTCGGTGACCAATGGTGTTCCGCAGGGATCTGTTTTGGAACCTCTGCTCTTTGTGATCTTTATAAATGACTTGGATGTGGAAGTGGAAGGGTGGGTTAGTAAGTTTGCCAATAACACAAAGGTTGGTGGAGTTGTGGACAGCGTGGAGGGCTGCTGTAGGCTGCAACGGGACATTGACAGGATGCAGAGCTGGGCAAAGAAGTGGCAGATGGAATTCAACCCAGAAAAGTGTAAAGTGTAAAGTGATTTATTTTGGAAGGTTGAAATTGAATGCAGAATACAGGGTTAATGGCAGGATTCTTGGCAGTGTGGGGAACAGAGGGATCTTGGGGTCCACGTCCATAGATCCCTCAAAGTTGCTACCCAGGTCGATAGGGTTGTAAAGAAGGTGTATGGTGTGTTGGCTTTCATTGGCGGGGAATTGAGTTTAAGAGCTGCTAGGTTATGCTGCAGCTCTATAAAACCCTGGTTAGACTACACTTGGAATATTGTGTGGAGTTCTGGTCACCTTATTGTAGGAAGGATGTGGAAGCTTTAGAGAAGGTGCAGAGGAGATTTACCAGGATGCTGCCTGGACTGGAGGGCAGGTCTTATGAGGAAAGGTTGAGGGAGCTAGGGCTTTTCTCATTGGAGCAAAGAAGGATGAGTGGTGACTTGATAGAGGTGTACAAGATGATGAGAGGCATAGGTATAGTGGATAGTCAGAGACTTTTTCCCAGGGAGGAAAGACTATTACGAGGGGGCATAATTTTAAGGTGATTGGAGGAAAGTATAGGGGAGATGTCAGAGGTAGGTTCTTCACACAGAGGGTGGTGGGCGTGTGAAATGTGCTGCCAGCAGTGGTAGTGGAGTCAGATACTTTAGAGACTTTTAAGCGACTCTTGGATAGGCACATGGAGGATAGTAAAATGTAGAGTATGCAGGGTAGTTTGATCTTTGTAGGGCCTATACTGTGCTGTACTGCTCTATGTTCCATGTTCTGTGTTCTAGTACTTGAGTTATGGTCTCGCCAATGCCCTGTATAACTGAGATCCTGATAGATCGATGGATTATGAGTTACCTGCATGCTAAGTTTTTGTGACTCATACCTGTAAAGAGACATCCATCAACTTGGTCTACTGTATCCGCTGCTCCCGGTGTGGCCTCCTGTACATCGGGTGAGAGCAAGCATAGACTTGGAGACTATTTCGTAGAGCATCTGCACTCTGTACGCGACGACCACAACACCTTCTATTCACCAACCATTTTTAACTCCCCCTCCCACTCCCTGGGTGACATGCCCTCCTGGGCCTCCTCTAGTGTCACAATGACAGTACCTGCAAACTGGAGGAGCAACACCTCATACACCGAGCCTACAGCACAATGGTCTAAACATGGAATTCACCACCCCCGGCCTCATCCAATGACCAACGCTCCTTGTCATCCCCACCTCCTGGACCTGACATTTTCTCTCCCACCTCTGTCCATCTTCTCTCCCACCTATCCGCCCCACCCATCCAACTGACCAATCCCCACCACCGCCTACCTGCACTCGCCTATCACCATCCCACCTACCTTCCTCAGCCCCACCCCTCCTCTCTATTTATTTCAGATCTCCCTTCCCCCTTCCCCATTTCTGAAGAAGGGTCCTGACCCGAAACGTCAGCTTTCCTGCTCTTCTGATGCTGCCTGGACTGCTGTGTTCCTCCAGCTCCACAACGTACTTAAGATAATCTTGTTCACTCTTTTACATAATCAGTATTTTTCTCAATCAAGAGGGAGTAAACTTCAACAGCTTTCTTTAAAAGTTTATTCTGCAGTAATAAGGGCCAATTTGGACTGGCCGTATGAACGGGTGTGCTACCTGCTCGAAGGAGATAAGTAAGGATTCCACCTCAACCTCCTCAAACCCGAGAACTGAATGAGCAAATTCAGCAGCCTCTGTCCTCAAGTTGGAACTTATTGTCTTGCAGGGACAGAGCAAATTTCCTATCCTTCAGCTCGAGCAGCCTTAATTCACATTCCCTTTCCTCCTGTTTTTCCTGAAACTCTCTTTCTTCTCTCCTTGCTTTCTCCCCGTTGGCTTTCCCCTCTTTTTCACTTTCCTTTTCCTCCCTCTCCTTCTCTTTCCTTCCCTTTTTCTTGAAATTCTAATTTCTGATGCTTCAATTTTAATCTTTCCCTTGTTTTCTCTGTGTTAAAGCCAAAACAGAATGCAGATGCTGGAATCCAAGGTAGACAAACAGGAGGGTGGAAGAACACAGCAGGCCAGGCAGCATCTGGAGGAAAGGAGCAGTCAATGTTTCAGGTATTACCCTTCTTCAGGGCGGGATGTGGGGTAGGGGGAGCAGCAGATAAGGGGTGGGGGGGGTGGGGAAGGGTTGGAGGCAAAATGCTGGTGATAGGTGGACACCGGTAGTAGGTACGACCTGGTTGGTGGATGGGAGGGATGAATCCGGTTGGTGGCTGGAAGCACTGAGAGCGAGCAAGTTGTTCACCTGCAATGCCGGGGTGACGACTGGATGGTTTTTGGACCGGGATTCATACAGCACACATGCACTGAACCCAGACCAAGACACATGCATTCCTCAATCCATAAGCACTTCAGCTTGCTAACACACTGACACGTATACATGCACATTCAAGGGTAAAACTCACTTTTAATTCATGTCCCTCTGTATTCTTGGAAGTGGAAAATGCAAACATGCCTCTCACTCATATTGCTGTCTTTTCACCCATCATATTCACAGACTGAGATATTAACAGTTTATAGTACATTTCTCCCTTTGAAGCATCTCTAACACATTCAGGTGCGACATTCTAGGGTTCCTCTCCAGACAGTCAGTAATTTTACATCTACAGTAATCTTTATACTATTCACCCTCATATTTCGAAAACACTTTTTGGTTAGAAGTCCAACATGGCCATAGGTGATCACAGTCTGTGGTCCATGAAACTGACAATATTCATCTTTCAACATCTGACTTTTAAACCTGAGAGTTTGATGAACTAAAAAATGTACTTAAAAAGGACACTGCTGAACTAAAATAGTCGCTCTAATAATTTCATAAGCCCAGGCAACCCACATGAAATGCACAAAACCAGCTGACTCAATTTCCATTTCTCATCAACAGGCTCTGAAACTCAATAAGATGTTAAGAAAGCCACATCTCTTTTTTACTCATTCTTGTACAATCGCTTCATCTTGTGGAGATGAAAGATTACCTGTACAGTATTTAGTTTGAAAAAGATAATGGAGCTAGTCTTCGAATATACAATTAAACCATATTTCAGTAGTTTGCTTTGACCACAAAGCAATGGGACAAAACAAACTGACTAATAACAGCACAAATATAGAAAACTCCTCTCTCTCCCCTTTCTAAACCTCACTAGTTGAAGAAAAGTAGCTTGGCACAACAATGATTTATTCAGAACTCCAGGGGCATCTGCAGCTTCCCATAACGGAAAAGACACGACAGAAACCAAACAGTTGGACTCAGATGTCATCGTTCTCATAACTGAAAGAATGTAAACACCCCTAAAATGTAACTGCCTTCACCTTTCAGCTGAAGCAGATACCCTTCAGCCTGCCTTCTTTGTCAACCGTGCTTTATGTATGTTTGTGCTCATCTTTTATTTTTCTCAGGGAATAAAACTCGACTCTCACTCAAGAAACCTTAGAAATGTTTCTCCTTCATTTTTGATCTGGTTAACAAAGTTCAATTACTCTCTGATAGCTAGAAAAGAAACGGACTTCGATCTGAACAAACTTATTTACTTAGAAGATGGTGAATTTTTGGAATTCGCTACCCCATAAGGCTGTGAAAGCTCGGTCATCAAACAAGTACAAGACAGAGACTGACAGATTTCTATTTACTAATGCTTTAAAGGGATGTGGGAATAGCATGGGGAATATGGACTGTTTTTTAATCATTTGTGGGATCTGGGGGCGGCTGCTAGGCCAGTATCTGTTGCTCATTCCTAGGTCAAGGTGACGGGGATCTGCCTGAACTTGAACTGAAGTCTATTTAGTCTCAGTAGACTCACAATGTCGTGAGGGACGGACTTCCAGAATTTTGACTCAGTAACACTGAAACTGGTCCATTTTCAAGTTAAGATGGTGAATGCCTTGGAGGGGAGCTTGCAGCTGGTGTTATTCCCATGCATTTGCGGTTATTACCCTTCTAGGTGTTAGTGGCTGTAAGGTGAAGGATCAATACCTATCTGGAATCTTGGAAGTGTCTTGAGTGGCTGAATGGCTTATGCCTGTTCCCATGTTCTGAAAATATAGAACAGTGCATGCTGGGGACTCACCTCTGCATGAAAGGCCTTGATTGCTGCTGATGAGTTGTTTGCAGATGCTGCAGGTTTTTGGCTTTTTGAAAGTCTTATTCTTGAAAGTATGTGAACTGGAAACTAACTCTTCAGGCTGAAACAACAAACATCAAACAGCCTTTTTACAACACACATTTGAAAGTGGAGTTTTACTTCATAATGTTTTAAAACAATTTTTTTTTATTAAAAATGTATTGCAGGTCAACATTAAAATATTGTCAATGTAGCTGAGTGGTACAAGTTTAAGCGCTAACCATAGCAGAAGCCTCAAGTAACAGGAATATCAAACAGAAAGAAACTGGAAATATGGAAATTCTATTTTTATCTCATACAAGACCCTCATTTAAACTTACTCATTTAACTGATGTTTATAAGAGTACCTTCAACGAAGAAAGACATTCCAAAGTCACAGAAGCATGAGGAAAAATGGATGCCCAGCCAAAGATGCAGCAAAGAAGGCTGGTAAAACCTAGGTCAAGAAAGTTTGGTTCTAAAGAAAATATCAACATGCGACTGGGTGAAGCAGCACAGAATTTTGAGGGGGAATTCCAGAGACAGACCTAGAAAGCTCAGTCAGCAGTAAGGTAAGAGATACACAGGTCAGTCAGTATTGGAGAGGAGTTATAGTGATAGACCATGGTGTAAGAAAGAGGGAAGTTTGAAGTCATGTTGAGATTTAAACACAATAATCAGAATTTTGATTTTCAGGCATTACAGGATCAAAGGTAATTTGGTTAGTGTTGTTCCTTCAGAGGAGAAAGCCAAGAATAGATTATTGGATTATTCTAAGGGTAATAATTGAGAGAAGGAAGATAATACATTGAAGACACCCTGGTTATGGCTGTATAGTTTAAAGTGAGCTAGGCAAAAGTGGTTCTATGAATATAGATCCAGTTACGATAGAACAATGGCTAACCATAATCAAGAATTGGTAAAAGTTCAAGAAGACAGCACATTACAGTCAGAATCAGAAAACGTCCCTCATGACATTTCCACCAAAAGGATTAAAATGGTACTTGCAGATAAGTTAAGCATGGATCCAAAAAACGGACATATGCTCAGAAACTTTGGGTGGAAAAGGGAGTTTGAAGACTTAAGTGTAGTTAGCGAGAGCCAAGCATTTTTTAAGGGCAATGAGGGAACCAACAGTTTTTCTACAGAATGGGACAATGTTCAAGGAGAGCGCAATGTCTGCTAAAACTGGGGCTAGGATGAGAACTTGAACAATAATCAGGTCAAAGCTTGGAAAGGGTACAGAGAGATGAGTCGAGATGTGCGAGTTTATCACTAGAATAAGAAAAGTAAGTTTAGTTTAATGGGTTAGAGAATTGTCAAAAATCAGTGCATGGATTTTTTTTAATATCTTGAAAATAAAACAATCCACAAGCTTGTTAGACATTTTGGCACAAGACCTGAAGAGCAACGGTTTTAAAATGAAGTACTATAGGGAGATTATCTGTTGGGACCAGGTATTCAAGATTTAAAACAGCTTTGTGCCAGGTAAATGATTTGGTCAGAAATGCATTTGGAATTTTGACAATGTGAGACAAATTGTTCGTTAATCCATGCATTAGTCCCTAGATATTGTGTCTTTGATCATGGATCATGACAGCTTTGTTTTCTGGCATTCTTAAACTGTCTACCAACTGTGAGGTTCTGTTGAGTTTGGCTCCAGTAATAGTGCTGAAATCTTAAGGTTGAGCCTGACTCCTTCAACCTACAAAACTACTGAGGGGGGGGAAGTTGCGGTCCTTGAAAAACGAGGACATCTGAGATTGATGGGAGTGGAATGCCTCATCCTGGGAGCAGATGCGACGGAGGCGAAGGAATTGGGAATAGGGGATGGCATTTTTGCAGGAAGGTGGGTGAGAGGAGTTCATCAGTTCATCCACTTCACCAACACCCTCCACCCCAACCTTAAGTTCACCTGGTCCATCTCTAATACCTCTCTCTCCTTCCTGGACCTCTCTGTCTCCATCTCCGGCAACCACCTAGAAACCGATATCCATTTCAAGCCCACCGACTCCCACACCTACCTAGAATACACCTCCTCCCACCCACCTTCCTGCAAAAATGCCATCCCCTATTCCCAATTCCTTCGCCTCCACCGCATCTGCTCCCAGGATGAGGCATTCCACTCCCGTACATCTCAGATGTCCTCATATTTCCAAGGACTGCAACTTCCCCACCTCAGTGGGCGAGAACGCCCTCGACCGGTGTCTCCCGCATTTCCCGCAATTCATCCCTCACACCCCCTCCCACAATAACAACCAAAACAGAATCCCCCTCATCCTCACTTACCACCCCACCAACCTCCGGATCCAACGCATCATCCTCTGGCACTTCCGTCATCTGCAATCCGACCCCACCACCAAAGACATTTTTCCCTCCTCACCCTTATCTGCCTTCTGGTGGGACCACTTTCTCCGTGACTCCCTTGTCCGCTCCAGAGTCCCCTCCAGCCCCACCTCACCCAGCACTTTTCCCTGCAACCGCAGGAAGTGCTACACCTGCCCCTACACCTCCCCCCTCACCCCGATCCCAGGCCCCAAAACGACTTTCCACATCAAGCAGATGTTCACCTGCACATCTGCTAATGTGGTATACTGCATCCGCTGTTCCCGTTGTGGCCTCCTCTACATCGGGGAAACCAAGCGGAGGCTTGGGGACCGCTTTGCAGAACGCCTACGCTCGGTTCGCACTAAACAACTGCACCTCCCAGTCGCGAACTATTTCAACTCCCCCTCCCATTCCGCAGACAACATGTCCATCCTGGGCCTCCTGCAGTGCCACAACGATGCTATCCGAAGGTTGCAGGAACAGCAACTCATATTCCGCTTGGGAACTCTGCAGCCCACTGGTATCAATGTGGACTTCACAAGCTTCAAAATCTCCCCTCCCCCTACCGCATCCCAAAACCAGCCCAGCTCATCCCTGCCTCCCTAACCTGTCCTTCCTCCCACCTCAAGCCCCACCCTGATCTCCTACCTACTAACCTCATCCCGCCCCCTTGACCTGTCCGTCCTCCCTGGACTGACCTATCTCCTCCCTAACTCCCCACCTACACTCACCTTTACTGGCTCCATCCCCGCCTCTTTGACCAGTCTGTCTCCTCTCCACCTATCTTCTCCTCTATCCATCTTCTATCTGCCTCCCCCCCTCCCTATTTATTTCAGAACCCCCTTCCCCTCCCCCATTTCTGAAGAAGGGTCTAGGCCCGAAACGTCAGCCTTCCTGCTCCTCTGATGCTGCTTGGCCTGCTGTGTTCATCCAGCCCTGCACCTTGTTATCTCTAAAAAGTACTGTGCTAATATTCAAAAAGCACTGCGACCACTTAGGAAACTCCCATTTACCCATTTTAACTGGTGGAAAAAAGCCTAAACTCCAACAATAGCAAACAAACGACATTTACACACCCAACACAACCATCAGTGGTACTATCGTTTAGCAGCACAAAATTATCAGTGGGCATTCTGAAGATATTAAATTATTCGTCTCACAGTCATACCGCACAGAAACAGACCTTTCGGTCCAACTCATTCATGCTGACCAACATCCCAGTCTTATCTAGTCCCATTTGCCAGCATTTGGTCCATATCCCTCTAAACCCTTCCTATTCATGTACCCAGCCGGATGCCTTTTAAATGTTCTAACCGTACTAGTCTCCACTACTACTTCTGGCACCTCATTCCATACATGCACTACCCTCTGTGTCTACCACTCGATTGAAACCCTTCATAATTTTAACATCTCGCCCAATGTTTGTCTTCAGAACTGAACATGCTACTCCAGTTGAGGCCTAAGCAGCCTTTTCATAAATGTTGCTTTTGTATTCTACATTTCTATTACTAAAGCTAAGGAATCCATATGCATTTTTTTAAAAACCAAGTATGAGAAATGGACGAAATACAAATTGAGCCAAGTTTTAATGTACATTATCGTCAAAGAAGCTGTCAGTCATTACCCCTTGTTTGAAGAATGGTCACAATCTAATGGCATGGGTGAGTAGTGGCACTCTTACAATAGTAACACAACAGGTTTATGGAAGTGAGGTGGCAGTGGGAAGAAGGGCTTCAGGAGTAAGCAATGCCACAAATGTAGGGGCTGCAGAAGAAGAGCAAAGATAATCTCTGCTTTAGCTCACTTACCCACTGTGTTTTCTCCCTCCAGTGTTACCACAAAAATAGAAACAATTTTGTTTTTCCTCCTTTGAATCCTTCCCCACTTCTGAATTTCTGTCATTGAGCTTTTTTCTGTCCTTTCCTGTCTCGAGTGTCCAACCTCAGCACTGCCAAGAGGCTTTAAATTGTCCTGCTTGTAATCATAGTTTATTGCTATATGTCCTGAACTCATTAATCCAGGAGACAACTGGCTTCATCTCACTTTTGCCCTGATATTCTGTGTCTCTGAATATTCAAAGCAGCACAGCCTCTCCTTCCTCTCAGCAAGAAATATCAATAGGAAGTGGACATCTGGTCCAAAATTTCAAGGATTATGAAAACCACAGCTCATTTGAAGGTGGCAAGTCATCTGGATTCTCTTTTTCCCAACTGCTGGGAAAGTGACTGGTGTGCAGCAATTTCCCACACTGATATAGCTTAGATCAGGAGCTTGGTGCTTTAGAATGATGATACAGCATGTTTAAGACTTAACTTCCATTATGGTTTATGGTTCCCACAATTACATTAAAGCATTCCACAAAATCAACACCAAGTAAGAAGAGACATTAATGTGTCAACTTACAGTGAAAATTAAGGCACAATTAAAGATGACAGAAATGCCAAGAATTTTGATTTATTAATTTTGATTTATCTATCTATTTAGGACAATTGACATGACTGAATTTTTCATGCTGATACTTAAGTGAATAAATGAAATAATGGGTGGCCCTTGGAGGTCCATACAACCTCAGGTTTAATTCCAGAGTTGTATTGATTTAGTTGATCTCAGTTAAATCTATTGCCAATGGCATTAACTTGTTACAGTGTCCCTGGAAGATATTGGAGTGTATTTTTTCTTTCCTGATTCCAATCTCCCCGGGAACAAACATGCAGATAGCAAAAGGAGAACAGCATTTAGCCTGAGGATCAATTG